GTCCCTTTTACGGCCGTCGCTACGTCGCCTCGGCATCCCTGGCTGCCCGGAGCTTCGCGAGGAACTCCTCCAGCATCGCCTCCCGGTCGCCGACGAGGGCCTGCCGGATGGAGCACACCTCCAGCATGCGGAAGAGCTTCTCCTTCTCCCACATCTCGTCCTGGCACGGGTGCCAGAAGTTCACGCTCAGCGAGAGCGGCAGGCCCTTCTCCTTTCGGGTCGGGCGAAAGGGCGGGATAGCAAAGGGGGGGGGGAGAATCAGCTCACGTAGCTGATTTTCCCGGCGCCTCCCGGCGCCAGAGGCGGCTATGTATCGAGGAACGGGCCCCTCCGTGGGGCCGAAACCAGCTGCATGCAGCAAAGTTCCTAACCCCCCCTTTCCCAATCCCCCCCTTTCGTCCGGCCCGATCCTTGCTCCTCGCGCCGGGGGGCCAGGTGCGCACCGCGTGGAACCAGCCGGGCGGTATGTACACCACGTCGCCGGCCCGCAGCGAGGCGCGCAGGGGCCCCGAGGGGTGCCAGGAGGAGCTGGAGATGCTCGCGAGGTCCTCGAGGCCCTCGATGCCGTGGAACTGCGCGCCCTGCAGCTCTGCCGCGGGCCCCGCCGCAGGGGCTCTGCCCAGCCTCCGGTCGGCCGCGAGGCGGAGGCCCGGGCACAGCCGGCAGTTGTCCTCGAAGCTGGCGTCGATGCTGACGAGGCACATCGGCGTGCGGAGGTCCCCTCGGACGAGCTCCTGCAGGTGCGCCTCGGGAGGCGCCCCGGCTCGCGAGGCGTCGGCCACGCTCCAGACCGCCTGCGCCACGGAGCTCGTGCCGTGGAGCACTGCGATGTCGCTCGGGTGGCACATCGTGAACTCCTGGGAGAGCTCCAAGCAGTACGCCACCACCCAGCCCTGGCCAGGCCCCTCCTGGGCCCCGGCCGGGCGTGCAGGCCCTCCCGGGCCAGGCCCGGAGGCCCGTGCACCAGTCCGGGGCCCGGACGGGCCTGGCCAGGGCTGGGTGGTGCTGTGCTGCTTGGCCTCCCTCCGAGCTCCTTCCGGCCGCTCAGGACCACGTGCAGGTTCTCCGAGAAGTCGCAGTGGAAGTTGCAGCTGACGGGCCCCCCGCGCGGCCCGCCCCCGCACATCCAGGTGTTCACCGTGGGCCCGCCCGAAGCCGACCAGGCTGGCATCAGCCTCTCTGCCGGAGAGCACGGGGCGATCGCATCGAGGAGCTCCCGTGGCCACTGGCCGACGTCGTGCTGCGCGCAGTACACGGAGAACTCGCGCCCGCTCGCCCCAAAGTCGACGTCCACGTTCCTCGGGTAGTTCGGCAGGCAGCGAAGGTCCTCCTGCCAGCCCGGGCCCTCATAGGCCACGTTCGCGTGCAGCACCCTTCTCACCGGCGCCCTGGCGGCGGCCGCCGCCCAGGGGCCCCTCGGCTTCTGGCGCTTGAGGTGGCAGGCGTCAAGGAAGTCTCCAAACTGACAGAGGAGCATCGCTGGGCTGACGAGCCGCAGGCTGGGGTCCATGCTGGGCACCTCCTCGTACTTCAGGTGGCTCTGGGAAGGCTGGAACTCGGTGGGGCACAACTCGCCGTCCAGCAGCGTCCTCCACGAGACCTCGGTCTGTGGATCCAACCGCCCGCGCCGCACGAAGTCCCAGTCTCTGGCGAAGCCGCGGATGACGCAGGGGCGCGCGAGGCTCCACGCGTGCCGCGGCTCCTGGCCCGGGCCGCCGCGGCGCCGGGGCGTCACGAATCGCTCCGCGAAGCGCACGGCGGCTCTCTCCTGGGCATCCTCGTCCTCCTGCGGTTAGGTCGGGCATGTCCTCCTACAGGTGGATTTTGGGCGAAAATGAAGAGGATTCCAAAGAAAATCAAATACACATATACATACTTATATATATATACACACACATACACATATACATATTAGAAAATTATAGAAAAATCCTCCATTGACTATATTTTTACTATTCTTTCACGCTCTTCCTGTAGAGGGACGTGCCCGACTTCATCCTGCGGCCACTGGATGGACCCCAGCTGCCGCAAGGGCACGCCGAGCGCCGGGTCGGGCGCTCGCGGCGGCCGGGGGGCCGCAGCGGCAGCCGCCCTCTGCGCCCTGTCGCGGCAGCCTGCCCGCGGCAGCACCGCGGATGCCGCGCGCCGCGCCCGCGCGAGGCCGGCCAGGCCGAAGCCGCAGGCCGCGGCGGCGCCGCGGCCGCCCCCCGTGCAGCGGCGGCCTCCGGCCGGCCCGGCGGCGCCCGCCCCGCGCAGGGCGGCGCGGGCCCCGCCGAGCTCTCGCGCAGCGGCGCCCGCCGCGGAGCCCGTGGGCGCGGAGAGGCCGCGGAGCAGACACATGGGGTGCCCATGCCGCCGTGGCCCCACTGCCCCGCTTCGACGGAGCCTGGCGCGACCCTCAGCTGCGAGTGCACGTCGGTCGGAAGAGGTGGGCAAAAGCATGAGGGAGGGCGGCGGATGGAGGAGATCGGGCTCCGGCCCTCCCAGAAAGCAACAAGACGCAGCAAAACCATATCGATTCTTGCAGTGGGAAGGCGCTTGAAGTAGATTGGGATCTGGGAATCCAAAAATGCCTACTTTGAACGACCAGCGTGTATTGCTTTTGCTGACGGCACACATGCGCAATGAAACGCAACGAGGTACGTGCAAAGCCATGGGGCGCCATGCAGCGCAAGGCACAGCACAACGTGGCAGCGCACAGCATAGCGCCGCCCAGCGCTGCAAAAATCAGCCGACCCTGTCGGCGTGTGTGAGGCGGCTCTTCCTCCTCGTCGTCGTCGTCGCCGCCGCCGCCGACGCCGCTCACCTCCCTCTTGCCGCTTTTCGGTTTGAGTCGTCGTCGTCGTCGCTCCCCCCCTTTCGCTGGGCACTCCTCCTCCTCTTCACGCGTTCAAGCAAAAAAGGAAATCGCGCAACGCCGTAATCGAGAACAAAGGAAGCCCCTTCCATTTGATCCCTCCGCCCACCGGCGCACCGTTCAGGACTCCCGGGTGATGGGCCTCGAGACCGTCGAGGCTGCTGCGACAATGGTCACCCACGTCAAGAACGAGCTTGGCAAGAAGGGAGGCGTCTGTCCGTCGCAGTTGGCCTTGGGGCCTCGAAGACCAGGAGTACCTGGTACCCCACTGTAAGATGACGAAGCTCGGCGACTGGAGGTCGTGGAGTCTTGTACTGACCCCCAGTCGGCCATGGCCAGGTTCTTGGTACTACGAGAGGCGGCCCGCATGTCGTGGGTCCGCATGGACACTGACGATCGAGTCTGACGAGCTGTACTGAGTAAGGCGCGCCCCAACAGGCGGCCATTTCCCATAGGCTCATTTATCTAACGTTCCCAAGTTCGACCAGGCGAGAACTCAGACATCTCGCATCGATAGTTTGGCCTAGTCAGGGTCATTCGGCATGGGGTCCGCAACTCCAAGTACCTCGCCGACGACGTCGTCGAAAGAACTGACGCTGCAGCACATGCAATTTGGCTACGATGCGGGGACACACCACAGTATTGGCAGCTCCAAAGGCACTGCGACTCGCCCCCGAAGAGGAACTGCTGGCAATGAACACCCACGTTAACCTCGACCTGCTCAACGTGTCGAACACGAAGGGAGCTCACAACTACCATCGGCATTCCAGCGGACGCCGCGATTGCAGTCGATCCTCCTGAGCAAATGCCCGCGCCACAGAGACCTGCCAACGGCCACGGAGGGATGCTCGACCCGCCTGCGCACGCGCCGCCGCCACCAACGCCCGCGAGTCCAGAAGTTCCAGCACCACCTGCTGGAGAGGGAGGGGCCCGATACCAGCTTCAGAAGCACGGACGAGGGCCAGGGACCGTCGGGAAGGGGGGCCGACGTGGAGTGCGCGGCAGCGGGGGGCCGCAGCATGGCCAGGGACGGTCCCCGACGGAGCCGAGCGGCAGACGTGGGCAGCAACGGGGAGCAGCAACGGGGCCGAGGGCAGGCGGCGAGAGGGCCGAACCAAGTAAAAAAATGCTTGGCAACGGCGAGCAGCCAACGAGGCCAGGGACACACGTGGCCGGGGCCGCACGCCGAACATTGGCGCCAACGGGCGGCAGCACCAGGGCCTGGAACAGTTGGCGACGGGGCCAAGCGAAGGAGATCGGCGGCAGCGCAGGGCCGAAGGAGAGGCACTCATGGCAGTGAGGGGGGGCGGCACCGGGGCCGGGGGCGGTCGGCGACCAAGCCGAGCGGAAGACATTGGCAGCGGAGGGCCGCGCCAGGGTCAAGGACCGCTGGGGGCGAGCCCGAGCCAAAAGAAGGCAGCAACAGGGGGGGCAACAGCAGGGCCAGGGACCGTCAAGGACGGAGCTGAGCTGGACGACAAAAGCGGAGGCAACGGAGGGCAGCAACAGGGCTGGGGGTGGTCGGGGAACAGGGCGGAGAGAAAAACTTAATGATGATAGCGCGGGGCAACACCATCCAAAGGCAGTCGGGGGCGGGAAAAAAACGGCAACGGTAAGTAGCATCAACGCTGTGGACGATCGGGAGCGGAACGAACGAACGAATAAACTGCGCCCTGACGGCGCATTGGTGAACAAATGGAACATGTGAATCACATGCGTGCCAGCTTGCGAGAAAACACACGCTTGAACACGTGTTTGGCCTCTTGCGAACCGATGCTGTGGCCTTTACTTCATTGAGTTCGGGGAGGGAGAGAAGGAGGCGGACCGGGGGGGCGCGGCATTCAGAAAATTGCGTTGCTCAATGTTGCGCCACCACACGCAGTCACGCTACTCTGAAGAATGTTGCCGCAACGGCAGCAAGCCGTGCTGGCCAAAACTGGCCAGAACGGAATCCTGCAGCAGAATAAATTTAAAAATTGTTATATGGGGCCTCCATGCAACAAGAACGAACATAACCCCCAGGGTTAACAATACTCAATTAAATGTACTTGTGGTTCTGTTCCATCGCCCATCCAGAAATTGAAGTCGTACCATCTGAACCCACCTGGTATCGACCCCCCCCCGTCATCCCCTGAAAAACACTATCCGGGTACACTCGCTGATCCAAAATATTTGCACACGCATGAATAGACCAGAGAAGAAGAAGAAAACAAACAAGAAACTTCCGCGCGCCCATGCGAATTCCTTGTGTATGTATATATATATATATATATATATATATATATATATATATATATATATATTCTCATACGCACCTCTCCGAGGGAGTAGAGCTCAGAGGCGATTAATGCGCACGCGTCCGCGATTTTTCTGGGCGTTTCGCTCGGGACATCCTCGAAGTTCTGAAAATCGGTGGCACCCCTCACGCAGATCGCGACGTCAGGGTCCAAAAACACATGGGAAATTCAACATTTTAACATAAAACCTTCAAAAACACATTGTAATTTCAAGAATTGTGACCCCGATTCTCAGTGAATGGCGGTTTCGCTTGAAAAATCCTTCCAAAATCGAGCCCCAGACCCCGCCTCGGAGCCTCCTGGGGGCCTCCTGGAACCTCCTGGGGCCTCCTGGGCCTTCTGAACCTTCTGGCACCCCAGACCCCGCCTCGGAGCCTCCTGGGGGTGTCCTGAAACCTCCTGGGGCCTCCTGGGGCCTCCTGCGGCCTCCTGGAGCCTCTTGGGGCCTCCTGAAGCCTCCTGGGGTCTCCTGGGGCCTCCTGAGGCCGCCTGGGGCCTCCTGGGGCCTCCTGGGGCTTCAGAACTACATGCACACAGAGACACAAATCACGCCCAACACATCACACGCTAGACAAACATAACACACACACACACACACAACACCTACAACACACAAAAAGCACGCACCACACGAAGCATACATCACAAACACACACACACACACACACACACACACACACACGCACAACACTCACAATCCTGGGGCCTCCTGGAGCCTCTTCTGGTATCCAAGTCGGGCCTCCTAAGGCTTCCTGGGGGCCCTGGTAGACACATCGCAAGGTGTGGCAACCCCACTTGCGCTCGAGTGCGACTTCGATGTTGCATTTCACTCCTGTTTCAAACGCCCCTTCAGTTTTTTTGTATGAGCCTGGGCACACACGTGCCACTTGTGTGTATATATACATATATATATATATATATATATATATATATATATATATATATATGTGTATGTGTATATATATACATATACATATATATATATATATGATTAAACGCTACCAAACGGTCCTCGCGCGCGCATAACAAAATCATTCGAACGCCACTGCGCACGTGCTGTCGCGAGAATCCGGTCCTAAACTGGAACGAAGCGCACCGCAACATCAATGTTCCAAAAAATGTGTGTTCGCGCTCTGGCGCAGTTTCAAAAAAAAACGACAAACTTTGCGCGACAGGTCGATGGAATTCTGCCAAACGGGCGGTTTTATTTGCAACCCGCGAATCAATCGGTAGCTGCACTGCTAATATATTACGGACGTACTTGCGGGTCGGCCCAGAAGAAACAAGGCCAAGGGCGCGCCGGCAGGGAAGCCATGAGAGACGCGGCAAGCCGCATAGACTTCCAGGCGGTAAGAAAGGACGGGGGGGGAAAGGAGGGCAAAGGCAGCAAGCGACGCAGACGAGGGGGAGGAGAAGGAAAAATGAGAGAAGAAGGAGGAGGAGAGAAGAGGGGGGAGGGCTGAGCCTAACAGAAGAACTACGCGAAGAGCGCGCCCTGCGTTTCACGCAGGGCAACCGGGGAACAAACGACAACGACAGCGAGACACGATCAGAACAACAAGCATGCAAAAGACAAAAGGAGAGCAAAAGGGGAGAAGAAGAGAGAGAAGAAAAAAAGAGAAAACAAGAAAATCGCGTTCGATTAAAAATTCATCGAACATACACATCAAAATATAATGTTAATTTTCCGGACAGACCGTCCAGGTCCAGCTGGGTGAACAAAGGCCCAAAGATGCGAGAAAATGCCCAGCATAAACATCGCGCCAGTCCTGGCAGCGACGCAAGGAGTGGTTGGCGAGGGCTTCGCGCGGACTGTAGACGGAACGCCAATCGGTTTTGAGCGACCCAGTGAGGACGCAGCACAAAAAGTTTTGGAAAAAAAGGACTGGAAAATCTTGACGCTTCTGGCGCTTACAGCAACATCCGGAAGAATATTGTTCTTGCAAACAGAGCCGAGGGAAGAATAACGGAAGCGACCGCAACCCACATCGATCGACGAGGTGGCAAAAAATGGCGGCAAAAACGGACCTGTGGATGATGCCTAGAATGGCAACGTCGCGCCGGGTGATCAGCGGAGCAAGAATAAAATGCAAGAACGCATCTCGATCACAAATACGAACAGCTCTTCACAAACGGCCCTGCACGGCGTCGAGGAAGGAAGAATCGAAGACGAGGCAAAATGAATCGTTCATACTTCTATATCCAATGTACGATTCACATGTTTTTGGGTGAGATTTGCAAATGACATAACTTCACTGTAACCCCTCAAAAAATGCAGTTCCAAAGAATACTGCGCGCGCCAGCCACACTCGAGAACGCAACCGGACATGTCGTCGTGCATGAGCAACCGAATTTCAAAAATGGTCCACAATCTTAGACGGAAAAAACCAGCCTGGCCAAAACCGGAAAACGATATGATAGCTTTCAGGTCGAACTCTCTGTTCGCGACCCCCCCACCTGTATAGCCTAGTATGACACTCGCAAGAAAAACGAAAGTTTGAGGGTCAGTGGGACTCGCGTGAGGGGTTCTTGAAGCGCCCCCTCTCTGTTGGATAATGTTTTCCACTCGCAAGTCCTGGGCGGCGACGCGGGCGCTCCGGAGCATCAGCCAACTATCCAAGAGAACAACAATGTCGGGTCAGATAAACAACGAACGGAGTTTGCGCATTAGCCTGCCCTTGTCGACTCTGTCGAACGCGGCAGAGACATCGGCACAATCAATGCCGCCTGCGAAGGCAACTTAATAGACTTCATTGGTTCAAACAATACCGAAACCAAAAAAAAAAAAAAAAAAAAAAAAAAACTGGCTCGAACGCATTTCCCTTGAGAAATTGACGCTGACGATGTAAACTTGTGAAACAATGACGCACGTTTGCATCAAAAACGTGACTCTTGATGGATCACTCGCATTGTAGAAAACAAATTCCTGCGCTGCTGCACCTGCGACTTCGCAACTTGGCTTAACGCGCAAGCTATATTCGTTTTTTCCAAACAACAATAAAACAACGACACCACACGCCTCGACTGCCTACAAACGCTCCCAGAACGTGTTCATTTTGTTCTTCAACGGATCGACTGCATCTCAAATGTCTAGCTCTGTCTTCGCGTAAAGACACTGGAAACCGTTGAATTTCTGCTGGAATTATTCTGAATTAGCAATGCGACATGAACTCACGCCATCTATTGGTCATATGTTTCATAAATGGCCCTTCTGATAACAATCCTGGTCTGTAAAATAGAAAATAAATCAATAATACATAAAACTATATATAGCATAAGAAATATGACCAATACAGATCATAATGGTCGCGGTAAGACTATGTGCTACTAGCAATCGTGATAACAGTTTTCTCAAATGCATCAATATATATATATATATACATACATACATATATACATATATATATATATATAAAGTTAAGCAATCGGCTTCATCTGAAATACAATTACATCTAGAGTCACTTAATATATGTATCCGAACCCTTAGATCAATTAACTCTAGATGTAATCACATCGTCTCGCTTTAAAACCGCACGCATTAAACCTACATTTAGTTACTCGCATGTAAGAAACATATATATCTATACATGTACATACATATATATATATATGTATATATATATATATATATATCAGTTACCTCTATACTAAACTCAACACACAAACAACGCTGAAAACAGTTTCGTTGATCTGCTGACATAGGATGAAAATAAAGAATCGTAAT